TCCCCCAGCCCGCATGCTGGCTGGGGGAATTCTGGGAGTTGAAGTCCACCCACCTTAAAGGGGCTGAGGTTGAGAAACGCTGCCTCGAAGTATCACCGGAGTTACTACTGGCGAGGTTGGGGTGGGACAGGACGGTATGCATTTTTCTTTTGGCCAGACCCTCATTATAACACGAAAACACAATTCCCTGGATTCTCTCTAGGGAGCAGGGCTGATCAACCAACCAGGTTTAAAATGGGTAGAGCAGACAAATCTACGGGGATGCCCCCGGTCAGCCAGCCAGTCCTGAAGGGAATGAAACAGAAAAGGGGGGACCGAGAAGGTGGGGCAGCGGCTGTGCTTGGCGGAGCAACGGCAGCCCTGGGTTTGGGCAACGGGGTTGAGCTGCACCCAAGATCAAACTTTGGTATGCCGTGTTGCAGAGATTTGGGGAGAGACCACCGGCGACCCTCTGCAAGGTGAGAAAAAAGCCCATTTGGACAATAGCGACCAAGAGGAAAAAACAACAACAACACAGTCCTAAATTGTGCTCATACCAAGGCGACTTCCCGCCAGTCTTCGGATGTTTCTTGGCAAAAGAGGACCCCCACGTCTAGCTGAAAGTACAAGCTGGATTTCAGAGAAGAAGGCATCCAACGGGCGAAAGAAAAACAAGGTGGGATTCACAAGTTGTTAGGTGGCTTTGGAAGGGGGCAGAGAGAGAGAGAAATACACACAACCAGGAACAGTCATGGAGACAGAGGTGTAAAACAAACTGGGAGAGAGACCACAACTTTTGGTTACAATAAGAAATCTCATTATCTACCTATTTACAAAGTCCACGCTAGTTTTTGCATATGCAATCATTGAAATCAGTGCGAAGCCGAGGATCTCTGTGGAAGAGAAGGTTGAGGACAGGGTGGGGTGGGGGACACATCCATCTAGGCCCCCTGGACCTTTTTCAGCTCCCCCTCCCCTCAAATGGACTAAAACGGTGAAGATGAAAAGGGGGGGGGGAGAGGAGAAAATGGACCCAAGGAACTTGACATGTCCAGGAACTTCAACTTAAAACAGATCTACTCCTGTTCACCACTTCACCTTTCTAGAATCTACGTGGGTCAGTAGGACAGACACGGTCCTTCTCAGAAGATGCTCAGCTGGCCGCTGAATGTTGCTTTCAGATTTGTGCTGGGCGTAAAAAGCCCATGTGGAAATTTCATGGTGGATCAGTCGTCCAGGCCCAGCCAAAATACATAAATTGGGGGGGGGGGTATTTTTGTGAGGGCAGGATGCTTCTCTCCCCAGGCCCTGGGGTAGAAAAAGACCTTTTCACACTCTCAGTGGAGAAAAAGAGAGAGAGAGACTCAATTCTCCAGGTCCCCAATGCCTTCCGCCTTCACTAGCTTGAGAGGAAAACTGTTAGGCGGTAGTCCCAGTGACCAAAGCGGACGCGGGAGGGAAGATTATCCTGATCTGGGTTTATTGGAACCGCCTTCCCTAGAGCGAAGGGTCGGCTTACGAGGCCTGGACTCTTAATCCTGGCCTTACTCCACTCTGCAGCGGCCAGGAAAGGCATCTGTTGGTCAGCCCTGCAACCGAGAAGGTCCTAAGACCCACGTGGTGGTTGGGTAACGCACAGGCCAGCACCGGCTATGAGACATGTATACGAAACAAGAAAAACAACAAAAAGAGGAGGAAAAAAGGGGGGGAAATAAACCATACACAAAAAAACCCATGATTCCTGCTTAAAAATTCAAGCTTCCATTTTTATATATATATATATTGTTTTCTGAAGTGCAAACCACTTCCGAGGGTTGCTTTATTTCTGCCTAAATTTTGCAGTGTGTCACAGAATCTAATTAAATCCAATCCTCCCATTGTTTTGCTTCTGTTTCCATATTAATCCACAAACCAAAATGGTAAATTCCATTTGAGTTTCTCTCTCTCTCTCTCAAATATATAGATATATATATATACATATTTTTTTTTCTCTTACAAAAATAAATTCAATTTTAGGAATTATTTTAATAAAAACAATAAACAACAATAAATTTCTTTCCGTAGAAGATGGTTTCAACGTGTAAACATATTCGTTTCTTTCTTTTTATAGATATATAGATATATATTTCTTTTAAATTAAGATAAAGTGATTTCAAAGTACCCGTTCCATTTCAAAGTGCTAAGACTTCTTTGTTTCTAATCTTTTTTTGTGGTTTTTATTGCTTTTTTTTGTATTAAATAAAACATCCATCTTGTCCCACCCAAGCCTGTTTTTTTTTTAAATCCTCTCTCAAACACACACACTCCCCTATTTAATTACATTCGGCCAAACGGTTCACCTTTTTTAATATTTATATTAAAAAGGAAATCTAAAAAGTGCTTGCCAAAAAAGAAAAGAAAAGAAAAGAAAAGAAAGGAAAAAAAAAGGAAATAATAAGACTAAAATTCATTCTCTCTCTCTATATATATAATTTTTAAACTGTGCATTTAAAAAATTCTGAAATGGCTAAAAGGTGCCCTTAGTTTTTTTAGCTTAGAGGGAGCTGCGCCTTTAATAAATTTTCATATAGCTACTGCTTCATCTACACAACTGCTTCTATTGACATGAGAGGACAATAGGAAAAGATTTGGTGAATCACCCCAAAGACAGTTTTGGACCCTAAACCTTACTTACCACGGTCCAAATCAACACCCTTAAGTGCGAATCCGGCTATCTAAGACTTCTAGGACCAGGGAGGATACAAAAGGGGGTGGGGGGAGAAGACACATAATTGGGGGGAGAACCTACTTTTGCTTCCATGAGTTAGCTGGGGTTTGGTTTGTGCCAGGAGCACATCATTTTTCCTACAAAGCCACCACGGGGCATGTATTTAGGGCTTATTTAGTGCCAAATGGGCTACAGAAAGACATGTTTAGGAAAAGCTGGAGGCAGAGGAGAGGTTTTGGGTTCAAATGCATACCTTTTCTGCCCCTCACCTGAGATTTTTTCAGAAATCTCCCCCCCCCCCAACCTTTGGCCCTTCCCTAGAAAAATCAAGATCCCTGGCACCCCTGCCACCACCTCAAGGCCAACACAGGGCTCTCTCAGCCTGCTCACAACGGTCCAGCTCTGTGCCCAACCCTGCCACCACCCAAGAGATTTGGGATACTCCCAAACAGCACTGCTCTTGGGGTCCTCAGCCACTGCCTACAGCCCAGTGTTTCTCAACCTTGGGAACTCTAAGATGTGTAGACTTCAACTCCCAGAATTCCCCAGCCAGCCATGCTGGCTGGGGGATTCT